AGATTTATTTATAAAATTATTTATAAATTTATTAAATTTAATAAATTAAAAAGTTAAAATAGATTAACTTTTTAAAAATTTGTACTTATATCTGTATAGGAGATAGTCAGAAGTCACTTTCTGTTTCATCTTTCTACTTGATTTCACTTTCTTAGTTTTTGTCTTTTTCTTTTAGTTCTATCTTCTCTCTCTTCTGTACTTACTGATTTGTATTTTAATTGCATTTTTTATATATCTTAATAAAAGTTTTGACTCTTTAAAAAAAAAAATCTATGTGGGTTTTTTTCATCTGCTTCCTCACTTCCGTGTCCCTCACAGGAACCACCTGAAGGAATGACCTCAGTTAAGGAGGAAGGGGAGAAAGATGAAAGCAAGCAAGAACCCGAAGTGGTCTATGAGACAAACTGCCATTGGGAAGGCTGTTCACGAGAGTTTGACATGCAGGAGCAGCTAGTGCATGTAAGTTAATGGCATTCAGGAGCTGGCTTTGAAAACTATCTGACCTTTTCTGAAGGGTCAGGCTCTCTGACCCTTTGCTGAGTCAAGTTTCTTTGCAAACAGCATTCCTGACTGGAGAGGGCTTATGGGTTTCTGTGAATAAAGCAAAACTCCAAGCTATACTGTTTGACCTGTTCAGTCAGCTAAAGCTTAGTGTAAAATTCAATAAAGTCTTCAATAGAGAGTGTAATGGCTCTGATCCTGTAAGCCACAAAATACTATTTTGAATCAGAGACTTTGATAGTTATTGAGTAAGAGTTAGCTGGACATGAGTTATTATTAACCTTTTTGCCAAGTTTGATGCATCCAGTCCCTTCAAACTGGCCTGCAACAATAGAAACAAGAAATGGAGTATTTTTTCCCTACAACCGTACAAGATTTTTGGTGCATTTAATGCATCAATTTTCTATTATTTGAACAAGGTGTAGTAGATTATTTAGGAAAATAAAAATGCATTGTGTTTTGTGCTTTCCATGAATGAAAGCAATTTTATCTGGGGAAAAAATATAACATGTTACCTTGAAATGGTTATCTTAGATAGTAGCCACCTATAATAGCTATGAATGATTGTCTCAGTATTGGTAAAAGTTCACATGCATGTCTAATTACAATGTTTTAGTTTGCACCCAGTACACTCCCAGTCAATCCCTATATCCAAATCAGAGCGAATAGACATGCCACTCAGTTCAGCTAGCAAACATTATATTTTACATTTGCTGATGTTTATTTATTAAACATCAGCAAATATAAAAAATAGTTAACTGGAAAAATGGGACAAAAGTCAGGTAAAAGCTGAAAGAAAAGAAATGAACAACATAAAAAGGGCAAAGGATTTAATATCAATAATCTACATTATCAAAATCTATCTGTCAAAAGGCACAGGATTTTCCAGAGCCACTGAAAGCAATACTGTGGGTAATTAGCATGAACAATCTCAAACATAGTGGTCTTTGGTTTTTCCAGCTTTAACCCTTTTATATACGGTGCATAACAGTAGAAGAATAGAGATGAAGAGTAGGACATCAGGTGATCCCTCCTCTGTCTAACCCATGAAGGAAACAATTGATGGATGGAAGTGATGTATCTAACATTCATCTTCTCATCAGCTCCACACAAGTAATGGGTTGTACCACCATGCATTTTTCACACACACTTTTTTCAGCCTCAGAAATAGGGTCCTAGGCAATGGCATCAGTTGGACAGTACATCAGTTTTACTTACCCTCTTCTTTCATGTCCTTCATGTAATACTGTTTAAAATCTACATGTTTCATATTAGGTCTGGACTGCTTTGTGTCTGCAATTCTTATACATCCCATGCTGTTCTCAAATAACTGGAATTGCTTCTTTTATTTTGAATTTTAGCAGTAATTTGTGCAGCTACACAAATTTCCTGCATGCTTTTTCTGTGGCAGTAAAGGTAGTCCTTGGCTTATGTCCATTCATTCAGCAACCATTCAAAGTTATGGCAGAGCTGAAAATATGGACGTATGACCGGTTCTTGAGGTTCCAGCCATTGCAGTACCCCCATGGTCACATGATCATTATCTGGGCATTCGGGTGCCCAGCTAACGATTATGATGTTGCAGAGAGCCACAGTCACATGATCAGCATTTGCAACCTTCCCTGCTGGCTTCCCACAAGGAAAGTCAATGGGGAAGCCAGCTGGGAAGGTTGCCAGTCACTCATGTAAGTCGCTCCTGCTTTTTCTTCCACCCACAGCACACACACTCCACCTGCGCGCAGCCTCCTAAGGCCCTCCCCTGGCCTTTTGCAACTTGCACGTGGCCTGTGCCTGCCCTTCCCTGGTCTCCTGCAACTCATGCACAGCCTGCACCAGCCCTCCCAGGCCCTACCCCGGCCTCTTCCACCCACCCCCCATGGCACCCCCACACTCCTTACCTCGCTTTCCTGTCTCTTCCTGCCTAACAACCCATGCATCTTGGGGTTACGACAACAACTGGGACTGGCCCGGATTGCTGTCTCTAAATGATGCAGTCAGATGACATTGCTCTTTACAACCTCATCACTTAGCGATGGCAATCCTGGTCCCAACTGCTTTCGTAACCCGAGGTCTACCTCGATTCAATCTCTGGAGATGAAAGGGCTATATGTTTTGTTTCTTATTGCACCAGGTGATAGATGTGCCTCCATACAAGACTATGTATGCTGTAGTTGATTTCCTATCAGATTCATCTCCAGCCCAATCTGAATCTGTATATCCAGTATGTTTTGGATTATTAGTTATAGGCAGTTTTAAATTAAATTCCATAGTTTCTTTTAAATGTCTGCCTCATCTTGTTAACTGCTGTTCAGTTCTTGTGTGTTGGCTCATTGATCTTTCTACTCAGCAGTCCACCTATATTGGCTATGTCAGGCCTACTCATAGTTGCAGTGTATAGTAGCTTTCCCACAGCTGTCCTATATTGCTCATGATTTGAAAACTTGCTTTGGTTTCCCCTTTTGTTTAGGTATCCAACTTTCATGCGTGTACTTGATTCCTTAGGTCTATTATCATTTGGTTTTGATTGAACAGGTACATTCCACTTTTGTTCTTTTGTATTTCTGAGATGGTGACTAATATTCTCATGTGTTTTACTTCCCCTTCATTTTTTTTTTCTTTAAATTGTTCACTTTCTCCAAGCTGTCTCTTTTGTTCTCAGCACAAACAATTACATCATCGACATAACAAAGAATGTACATGTGTCTTCCATTTTAACTCTTGTATTGAAGCATGGATCTGCATTTCCCTCTTCAAAGCCCATGTTTTCAAAATTTGCTTTGGCTGCCTGCTTTAGCCTACATATGGATTTTTGCAAAATACATATACGTGTGTGTGTGTATGTGTGTGTGTATCACATATTTATACAGCTATTAAACTTAGTATTATTACCATTGAAGTGCATCATATGTCTTATACTACGTCAGTGATATTTCTAAAACACTAGTTAACTACCTGGACTCCAGTGCAATAGTCTTCAAACCCTGTCCCACTTAAGTTTCCAAAGGATTTTTTATATGAAGCACAGTAATGGCAATTTAGCGGCCATCATTATTCTTCTAGTGCATGTACTAATAATATATCAGAGGGACTAACAAGTACCATCTCAAAATGGAAAGTGCAGTCTCAAGTACTCTTTTGAACCCTCTCCACAAAGCATTTTTGTTATGACTCAAAATACCAGTTTTCCCCAATTTGGGGCCTTCCTGGGAGATGCTGGCTAGTAATTCTAGAAAGATGCATTTACAAAGAGACATCATTAAATAAGTGAAATACGCCACCAGTGATTGCCTTGTCAAGAACATAAACATCAAGTGTTTATCACTGCCAGGGTACTTCAACAACATTTCAGGAAATTTGTAATTGAGATTAATTTTCCCACCTTCAGCTCTTGCAATTTTCAAGCAGCAGAGCCGATATATGTTTAGTCTTTATAGCATAATCTAACATTTTTGAAAATTATGGGACTTGAACTCCAAGGCAGAAGAAGGGTACCAGATTTAGAGAATGGGGGCTAATTTTGATCTTTAAGGTAAGACTACTAGCATTCATCTCCTTAGAAAAAAGGAGATAGTAATTTTATTCATTGTTTTTCAGAGGACTCGATGTTTCTTTAACATTGTTTAAAATGTAACCAGCAGTTATCAGTTTATACTGAATTAATATTTACCACAGCCCTTTACTAATGAAAAAAATAAAGATGTAGACTGGTACATGAATTATCTATCAACATAGAGTTAAGTAAAGGGGTACTAATTTTGAATGCCAGATGCCATTCAGAACTCAATACAGTTAAAATGTTCATAATGGATGCTCTAAGAAGCACAGCATTAAACGGTTCAGATGGCCTGCTTATTTATAGCACCTGTCCATCCCTTCTTGCTACCACCACCCCCACCACTGCCACCAGCCTCCCTTTCCTTTATAGCTAATAGAAAGATTCATGATTCTTCATGGTTGTCTATCTAGTGTCTGACAGCACTGACTCCCCTTGCTAAAGCAACTCACTATCTATAATTGATATCCTTCTAAGGAATGGGGTGCTGACTGCAATTGACGGGCTTTGCTGAAAGCTCTTAAATCCTGACAAGTTCTGCCCTTGTTCTGGTTCAGTCACTGAGCTACACTGCTGGAATTCCTAGGTTATTTGAACTTTGAGCAAAAGGAAAGCATGTGTTTCACATTAGCAAATCGCAAAGTTGGAGAGTAGAACTGTGACCTGGACTGCTGGATTTCCTGCCAATCTCGTTTACAAAGCATGGAACTTCTAAAAACATTACCTACTTACATTACCACTGAAATTTCTTTTCTTTTCCTCCCTCCCTCCCTTCAGAGAAAACAACAAAAACGCTAAATTGTTTAGATTCAGGTTGCTGATGGTCCTTTTATTGTTCTGCTATTTAATTAATTTCTCTGCCTACAAGATATTATAATTGTGGAAGTTTGTTTTAAAGATGTGATAAATTTACTCTTGAGTCCAGAAGCTAATAAGACACTGCATATTCCACTCTTTCCCTTAAGTCTTATGTTCATTGAACCTCAGTTTTTTATCTATTAAATTACATGGAAGACAAAAATTACTGGAGAGAGAGAGGTTAGACATAAAGATAAATGAATGTTTAGGGAAATCAGGCTGGAAAGGAAAAGACTAAATTTATTGTTTAGTATGAATAAAATGGCAGTAAAAAAAAAATGAAACATTTTTTCCTTGTCATTGCTATACAGGTATAGTGATAACATTTAATTTAAAACTAATTTTGAAAATATATTATTCAATTAGTATATACATTTTTTCTTCATTTTTTCATCTTCACCATGTCACATTTCCTTCTTTTGTGAAAGTTTGATTGCACCATATTTAAGATTAGAAGAGCAGTAACGACATGGCTAAAGAACTAATTTTATTTTTCTGAGATTTCAACAGAGAAGTCAGATGGCCCAAATTCTAGTTTGTTGCACAA